ATTTTTCCGGCTGTCCTTCTATTGATCCAACCTATAACAAAAATATGGACTTATGTTCATATTTCCTTGTAACGTCACTTTAAAGCATTTTTTTTTTCAGATTAAGGTTATGGAGGACGACAGTGGCAAGGGGACAAAAAAACCTGTTTCAGGGGAGRAAAATCTGAAATCTTTCGAAAGATGTCAAAAATTCCGATTGTTTCGTCTCGGTTGCCTCAATTTTTTCTTTAAATTCCTCTCTTCAGATTCCGTSGCATTTCTAATTCAACATTTTCCCTTTATCAGAAGGCCTTCCCGACTCCGTGTTTTGCGGTCTCCRCTTCCAACTGAGAATGCGGAAATCGATCCCAAAGGCGTACTTACCCACCAYTCCGCGTCTTCGGCGTCGCCCTTGACAACAATAATATCACTTTCTTTRAATGACAGCTCGTCGTCATTGTCAGCCTCACAGTCGTACAAAGCCTGGACTCTTCGGGGATGGGACGCAGGAGCCTGGGCAATAGWTTTAGCGTGAATTAATAATAAATAGCAGATAGAATTTTGGGGTGCCCAAGGGGTAAAAGAATCAAAAAGGGTAAGGCCATTGGCTTAATATATCATCAATTATTCATGACTGGTGTAGTTACCGGAGTGTAATATAGTCGCGGAGGAAGCTCTGGAGCTGGCGTTGTTGGTGGCGGAGGAGGTGGTAAATTATTCTCTTCAACTTGATCTTGAAATGAAGAAAGAAAGTCAATCAACCTCTCGATAAATACGAGCCAGTCATGCTAACAATCAGTCATTCACTGAATGGAGCAAGCTTTATTGTAAACTCTCGACCCCTCCCCCTAAATCTGCCCCCACAATCAATATCTTGCGGATCTTAATGCGGTCGCCATCTTGAATTACGTCGACGATATGAGAACCCAAGCGCCAGAAGCGCAATGTTTTTGTAGAATTGTACGACAAACACTAACTTTAATAATTTTAGGCTGGAAGTTTAGATCTTATGTCAAAACATCAAAATTAATTACCTTGAGATGTTGAACTTGCCTCAGTTCGAACTGGAGGAGGCGGCGTTGCTGGGGGTCTAAATTCATAAAAAATAACTGCTTAATCCTTAAGAACCCATATTAAAACCTATAGAGAAAGCCTAGGTCAGAATTCCTGCGGTAACAAAATAGGAGGAAGACTGGTGGTCAAATCAGTCTATTATCAAGTTGGGAGAGCCTACGTAGCACTCAGTTGATGTAATGTATTCATAAAATGTATTGTATTCCATTGTTTGTCGTTCTATTGTATTATGTGTTTTGTATTATATCTTAATGAATACATTACATCAACTGAGTGCTACGTAGGCTCTCCCTTATCAAGTTTTGCTCCGTCAACTTTACACAGGAATTCCAACTGGTTCACAGTTCCCAGCGCCATCTTGAAAGGTAGCCGTGCCTTTGCATCAAAGCGAGACTGAATCGTTGAGAGTGCAACGATAGAAACCTTCTTTCGCACCTACAGACCGATATTCACACATGTTCACAGGTATGCACTGTTGCCTCACTCCGATGAAAAGGCATGGCTACTTTTCAAGATGACGCAGGGAACCGTGAAGGAGACTATACCTCGGTAAAGTCATTGCCTTGGGTTTCAACGCCAGACTCTTTGARCCCCCTCCCCCTGGGGTACTAGGTTTGCCATCCTCCACCTTTGTCTTCTTAAGCGATCGTGGTCTGGGGGGAGGAGCGGGTCGATTTTGTCTAAGGTCATTCTTCGCCACTCCATCGTCTATTGGCAACGAGAGATTCTTTTCCAAGGCTGACTTAACAACGGGAGCAACTATTGATTTATTAGGTTCTTCACCAAATGGAAACTTTCCTTCAGACTTGGATCGTCGGTGAGTCGGAACGGGGGGTAGTCTGGGTTTTTGGTCTAGGGTTGGCATTC